CCAAGCCAAAGCCGGCAGGCCGCGAAGGCATCAGCCGGCGCCCCTGGCCGCGCTCCCCGCCCTCCCCCGTGCCCGGGGGGCTCCGCTGGCCGCCTCCCCTCCGCCCCCTCGGGCTGGGCTGGGCTCCCTCCCCGCTGCCCGGCAGCTGCTCCTCCCTGCCTGCCGGGCGCCCTAACGCGGCTCTCCTCCCCCTCCCCGGCAGGCCCGGTCTCCCTGTCCAAGGCCAGCGCCAACGCCGTCTCCGCCCTGCCCCTCAACAAGGACGCGCTCTTCGGCGGCGTGGTCAACCCCAACGAGGTCTTCTGCTCGGTGCCCGGCCGCCTCTCGCTGCTCAGCTCCACCTCCAAGTACAAGGTCACCGTGGCCGAAGTGCAGCGCCGCCTCTCCCCGCCCGAGTGCCTCAACGCCTCGCTCCTCGGCGGCGTCCTCCGGAGGTGAGGGGCGGGGACTGAGGAGGGGGGGAGGGACGGGACGGGACGGGACGGGCGGGGAGAGCCTCCATTGGCCGGGACTGCCCCGGGACTGCGCCCCGGTCGGCCAATCACAGGCCTCTCGGGGTAGGCTGCCCTTTCTGACACTTCGGCCTGCCCCCCTGTGTCTCTTTACCAGCGAAGGCCTCGGTGCTGAATGCACTGACTAGGCAGCAGCCCCCCCAATAGCCCCTGGGTGGGAAGCTGACCCACATTCCTCACAGCTTCCTGGCTGGGCCCACAGGCTTCGCCTTTCCCAGTGTGGCTTCCCAAGGGCCTCAGCAGCACTGAGATGTAGCACTGACAGTAGGTGCCTGGAGGGGGCCCTGACGGGTCATAGGTGGCAGCCCTCCTGCAGTCTTGGCACATTTGCCTGTTTCCCATTTAGTTGTGCCTTCATGGCTTGTCTTCAGGCTGAGCCTTACCTAGAAGGAAATTCCACTAAATAGCCTCCAGAACAGGGATTTGTTTTTGTGGCAGGAAAGACAAAATGCTCCAAGGATTGGAATAGGAACAATGCTTACCACCACCACTTATATTTAGAAACTCCCCCCCCCCCATGTGTATTCACATTAGTCATGTGTGAAGTGGTCTCATTTCGCCCTCTTTCAAATACCCCTTTTCCCAGTATTAGGTCATACCTGTAAAAGCTTAATATTATTGGGGTTTTTTTAAAGCAAATTAGAAGGACATTTTGAACCAGGAATCTAAGATCAAGAACATTCTAGAGAGTTTATCCGGGGTACCCCTGTTCCGTCACACCAGCTGGCCTCTAAATCCCGAGTCTAAATACAAACTAAACCATTTAACTGTGGGACATGCTGGTTTCGACAGTCCCACATTTTTGCCACTGAAAACATGACATGAATTGACCTTCCTTATAGGAAGGTTATACAGATTAGAAAGTAGTTCCTTAAAGTACTTCTACATTATTTCAGTATTAACTGGTGCACAGTTTCCAGAGATGTGGCTTGGGCTTTTTTGAGGCAGTCAGCATGTCCTGCCACAGATAACTGGTGTATCCAGACTATTAAGCACATGGCTCCCTGGCTTTTTTGTTCTGACAACAGCCCTCTGAAGCGGGTGACTGTCCCAAGGTCACCCAGTGACTTTCCAGGCAGAGTGGGGATCTGAGCCCAGGTCTTCCCGGCCCTTGCCCGACACTCTAATCCCTACATCATTCCAGCTTTACAGCCTCCCAGTTAGTATGGATCCCTTTCCCCTCAACATTGCAAGGCACAGCAAGGTTTGGTGAAAACTAGCAGACGCCAGCTGAGGGCACTGCCAGCACTATTTTGCTGAAGAAAGTCACTGGATATGGCTGTGCTACGATGGGGGGAGTCTCATGGGTTTTATCTGGCAAGCTGGGCACAGGAGTCTCCTCTTTATAGAGTAGAAGAAACTAGAATTCAGGAAACAACCTTTCTTCCACCTAACTGTTTTTCCTTTTTTGACAATAATAAAAATAAATAAATAAATAACAACATAACGAAAGCTTGGATTCCAGCAAAACAATATGCATCTTTCCCTCTTAATCTTTACAGCAAATTGAATGCAGTTTTCATAATGACAGACAAATGAAGGCCCTTGACTGTTGTGAATGAGGATTGTCGATAATACCAGGAGATCTGAGTAAATCAGGTCCCACTAGGCCACTAATCGTGGTTATGAATTCAGTCACAGCAGGAAAGAATCTGCAATAGCCCTTGTAGGTATCCACTGTTGCCCATCTAAGGTTTGCAACAGATACCTTTAGAACAAAAAGTGCTTCACTTGCCGTCCCCACCGCTCTTTCAGACACAAGGAAATGTTTTAGCACATTTGCCTGTTCTGCATTTAATTCTGCCTTCATGGCCTGTCTTCCATGCTTAGTATTCTGGGGAATGAAACTTCATTAAACATCCTTCTTAATAAGGATTAGTAATAGTTTTTTTGGGGGGGAGGGGGAAAATATATGAACTAATTTCAATATGATGTGGTATATATTAGTCATGTGTTTTTTTAAAAAAAATGTGTGAAACAGGGCAAAGTCGAAAAATGGAGGCAGATCTCTGAGAGAAAAACTGGACAAAATAGGATTAAATTTGCCAGCTGGGAGACGTAAAGCTGCTAATGTTACCCTACTGACATCACTAGTGGAGGGTAAGTAATGGCTTTAGATTTTGTGTGTCGGGGTGGGGGGTTCTTTAGTAAAGGTGTGGGGTTTTTTTGTCAGTTCAACAAAACAGGGGCATTTGGGAGAATGTTTACGGGTATTGTTTAATTTAAACCAGTATGTCTAAAGAAAACACTTGTCTTGACCTTCTGCTTTGTACTTTTTTGAAAGGTGAATTGAGACTGTCAGCCCAGTCGAAAACCCATTCATGTCAAAATACTTGGACTCTAATATGAGGACTCTATTGAAATCTGTTTGGACTTAAATCCCTGTAATGCGTTTAGGATCTGGTTGCCAAGTCCCAGTGAAGTGAATGAAACTAAGTTGGCTTTAAAGTCTAAAACTTCACTTTAACTGGGTTGCTAGCTGAACGTTCCCTTGCATCTCAAAAGTGGAACTGGAAACATTAATCGAGTAAGCGTAATTAATGGATTAATTTATTAATCACTGATTGACATGGTGGATTTTAATTGGATTTTAATCAGAGGAGTCCCCTGTGAAAGGGGGTACTGTAGCAATGTGCACATTATCTCAGTCTAGCTCTTGGTTCAGATAAGAAGGTTATGATGATTCTATAAACAATATGTGACTTAGCCACACCATTTACTCCAGAGATGCAGCTTCTCTTCTGGATAATTGCAAATGTTATTGGAAAATGAATTGATTAATTAAGCTAAAGCCAGTGGTTTTGAATGTGGTTCGTAAACTCCTTGAGCGTTTGGATTTTAGGAAAGTAGTTGTTTGGATTTAAACTAACAGTCAGCCAGAACTACAATCCCGCTAGTCTAAAATGCCTGCTTTAGGATTATTTCAGCAATTTATTAGGATCCAGGCTGATATAATTTGTAGATATACTCTAATTAAATTATGGGATCTTTATACACCCAACTGAATTTATCTATAACCTGGATGGATTTTATTGTAAAACCAGTTGCTCTGTTCAACTGTATTGTAGATTGAAGACCTTGTTGAGGTAATTGGGATTTAAATCCAGGTTATGTGCAAATATTCTAACATAACTAGTTTGTAGATTATCTGAAAAGTATGTATCTTGCTTTACCTTGATATCCCTGATCCCCCCCTATGTTCAGTCCACTGAACAGAATGGATTCAAAGAAGCACAAAATGATTCCCAAGTTTATGTTACTATACCCATGAAAATTACTCAGGCTGATGAAAAAGGGGGGTCTTGGAACGAGCCCATGTTTGCTGGCTCCTGTGAGTGAGCAGGATGTTATAATAGAGTCAAATGAGAACTTTTGTTATGTTAATCATTGTCCACTGCAAGTCCCAAACAGGCCTCATCACAAGTGAAGACACTATAAAAAATACAGAGCTGGAGGGAATGAAACACACACACACACACACACACACACACACAAACACAGAGGAGACTGTCTGGTCTACCCAACACTGGGGCATGGCATGTTCAGAATGCATGGCACTGCCAGTTTCTGTGTACCCCTGCTCTGCCAGTAGCCCTGCGAAAGAGGCCATGCACTCCACAATTTCCCCATCTTCATGTCAAGCTAATGCTCTTAATTCTTGTGAGCTGGTAGGGAGAAGGGAGATGGAATTCAGAAAGGAGGCTGAGAGGAATCTATTTCTTGGCATCGGCGCATTAACTATGCCACCATGTTAACAGGTACACTGCCTGGTCATCTGTTGTCTTAGACCATGTTTTTGACGTTTCCCCTCCCGTCACTTTTTTGTGCTCATCGCTGAACAATGTCAGGGGCTGCTCTTAACCGCCCCCCTCCCCGTTAAAGTCTCTGCAGCTTGAAGCCACATACCAGTAAATCATTTAAGTTATTCTGGCATCTGCATTTGAGAAATGCATGACCGGTACTTCCTGAATTAGTTTGGGAATCCTTGACCTAAGCCCTGATTTAATGGTGTCCTGAAAGCCTCCCAGCCGGCCCCTGAGACTCCCCCCTTTGTTCTCAGTCATTACAGAGTTGGAGGCAGCCTGTCTCCGGTACCATTTTCGGTTTTGACTGTAGGAGAAGGGGAGAAAACCGGGAGGCTGTTTTCCAGGGAACGGCCGGGCAGCTCTTGCCTTCTGATGCAGAATGGGATCCCCTGGTCCGGTTGAGAAAGGCTCACGTGATCGTAGCTGTTGACGCGAGGAAACTGATGTGTGTGTGTGTGTGGGGGGGTTGCAATCCCTCTCCTTCAGCCCCCCCCCCAGATCTTTAACCCCGAATTTTGATTTCTCTCTGAAAAGAGGTTAGTTCAAGCTGGACCCTTAGGTCAGCTGTGTTTTTTTCCTCCCCTTCTTCTTAGCATCCTGACAATAGCTTCCTTTGGCCTCGCGTCTTGCATTAAAAAGTATCCGCTTCAAAGAAATGAAGCAAAAGGCTTGATGAGAATGCAGGCCACAACCGACAGATCGTCAGGTAGACTTTCTTTGTCCTTAGGAAGCAAAGGGTATCCACAAGGTGAAGGCCAAACCGTGTGTGTGTGTGGGGGAAATGAAAAGAAAGTTTCCCTAAACTGGAGGAATACTCTGAAGGGAGTGTGAAGAAAAACAAAAAGAGAGAGGGGGGGGGATCCGATTCAAAGAGCAAGATATCTGGTGAAGGGCTAATACTGTGGATAATATAAATAATACGTAGCAGGGCGGAACCAGGACTCCTAGCGCTATTTGCTAACCCCCCCCCCCTTTCTTTGCAAAACAGTCTATTGGGAAATGCAGGGCCCCGATCCCCTTACACTTCGGAAGACACAAAGGGTCTAACGCGCAGACAAATCGAGAAGGGTGGCTAACCGCCCACCCCCACCCCCCAGGAGAGATAATGTACAGTTGTTTTGGCTGCGGGTCCCCCCCCCCCCCCCGCGCGATGCGGCAGTTTCTAAAGTACTGTTATTGTTTACGATCCGCTCCATTTTATGGAAACAAGCTCGCCGGACTGAGGCTTTGAAGCTCTAATTGGCGCATGCGTTCTTCCGGACCTCGAGCTAATGGCAGGAAGCCCTGCAGTAAAAACCAACTGGTTCAGGAAATTAAAACCAAAGATTTGAAAATCAACAAAACAGACAGACTCGGCGGAATGACCCTAAAATTCTTATGGTTAATCGTTTGAGAGGGGAGGAGGAGGAGGAGGAGGAGGAGGGAAGGATGGATAATTACATGCGATCAAGTTAAATTTTAAACACTCTGAGCTGTTTAGTGCAGTCCCGCTTAGGAGAGCTGCGGAAGCAGCGGGGATCAGAAATCAATATTAGTCGCTAGAATATGCCGAAGGAAATAAAATTGTAAGCGTATTTAGCATGCCTGCTCATGAGATTTTTTTATTTTTTTAAAAAAGCTTATCTGTGTGTATAAGTATAAATGTATATCATTTTGAAATACAAGCTCTCTGTTTCAGTTTACCCAATAGAAACAAAGCAGGGTGCCTTCAAAGGTCAAGATCGGTGCCTAGGTATTGTGGGGTTGGAAGCACTGGAGTGGATTAGTCGGTAGTTAAACCGTTGCGTTCTGTGTTCATTTATTGCAGTTTCCCCCTCCTTAAAAAATAATAATCTTAGCATGTTTCAATCAGATGTGTTGCTGGGGGGGGGGGGTGTTGTTTGGTTGTGATGGCCGGATGTAAACAATGCTCATGGCTTGCACCAGCTAATGAGAAGCGGGTTGTTCCCTCCAGAAATCATCCTCCCATATCTTTTGTGCCCGGACATTTTAAAATATATATATATATTTATAGCTTTGGTTAGCGCTGGTTAAAGTTCACCCGGAATCCTTCAATCACTTTATGTGCGCCTGCCTCTTAACTTAGGCCTGCAAAGGCGCGCCGCCTTCTCGCTGGCTGGAATCTTCTCTGACGGCCAAAGATGTTCCCAAAGGCCCCCCTCCTCGGGGGTGTCCCTCTGCAGTCCCTGAATTAAAATGGCGACTTCACGACGATTTGACCGGAGCACGTGTTTCGCTCAACCAGTTGACCAAGCAGTGCGATCCTGAGCCTCCTTCTGAGTCCGTACAGGGGGTCTGTTTAGGATCGCCCCGTGGGAAAACGCGTGGGTATCGATCAGGGTGTTCATCCCTCCCTCCCTCCCATTCCAGGAGAAGCCGTTCATCTCGCCAGGGATTTCGGTTACGTCTGCGAGACAGAGTTTCCTGCCAAAGCAGTAGCTGAATTTCTCAACCGACAACATTCCGATCCAAACGAGCAAGTCACAAGAAAAAACATGCTTCTAGCTACGAAGTAAGACATTTCCCTTTCTGGGGCGCGTCGGAGTTCACAAAGGGGCGCTTAATTTCGTTGTGTTAAACGTCGCTGGGTTCCGCTGTTGTTGCCTTTGATCACTCTGCGTTTCTTTGCGCGTGATCAGTTTCCGCCCTGCGTACCGGACCCTCCCTTGTCGAATTCGCTCCCCCCCCCGTTTATAATTGGTCAAGTAGAAGGGTCCATAGCTGAAGTTACTCTCGGAATGGAGTTTATGCAGATGAGTGAAGAGGCTTCTTTCCCACCAAAGGAAATCGATTGTGGATAGGCGATTATTTTAAAGCAAAAACAGTGCTTTCAAGTCAGGGGGGGAGACCAGGGCAGTCTTAGGAGCTGCTCAGGCCCAATAGCATATCTATCTATCTATCTGTCTGTCTGTCTGTCTGTCTATCTATCTATCTGTCTATCTATCTTCTACCTTCTATCTCTCTCTCTCTCTCTCTCTCTCTCTCTCTCTCTCTCTCTCTCTCTCTCTCTCTCTTTTCATCTATCTATCATCTATCTATCTATCTATCTATCTATCTATCTATCTATCTATCTATCTATCTATCATCTATCTATCTATCTATCTATCTATCTATCTATCTATCTATCTATCTATCTATCATCTATCTATCTTGGTATATGTAAATCCAGCTCTGGGAGGAGTCACAGCCAACCATTTCAGAGAGAAAGATGATGATGATGATCATTATTATTATATCCAATGGAAGTAAGGCGCACTGAGCGCTGTGGAAGGCACCTTCTGACCAGATACCGGGGCCGTGTGCTGCTGACCTCGGTCCCTTCGAATCTGCGAAGCAGGGCGGCGCAGCCATTTGGATAGGCCGTGGATATTAGATCGGGGTTCAACGGGACCGAGAGCGCCCGGCTGGGGTGCCCGCAGAGCTGCTTGGCGGATGGTGGGCCGGGGGAAGAGTGCGCCTGCGTGAGCGGCGCTGCCGACTGTTCCGAAGGAGGTGTTGGCTGGGAATTAAAAGGCTGGCGGGGCGGGGGGGGGTGGCCCTTAACTACCGGCAGCGACGTCGCCAGAGGGCACCGGCTGAAGCTGGAGACGGCTGATATGGCCGGGAGATCTTGAAGGCTGGCCTTCGGAGAGCCCGGTGTTCCGACGTGCTCCCCCCCACCCAATCTGCTCAGAGAGACTGCGCTGAGTCTCCTGGCTCCTCTGGTCCCCCTGCGCGCAAAGACCGTGCGAGGGTTTGCGCTTGTTGCGCTGGCGCCAGCCCGGCACTGGGATCGGTCAAAGGCCTGGGATTGACTGGCCCGGCAGGAAGCGCCCTCTGCCTCTCCAGCTCCGCCTGGCTGCTCTTCCGCCGGGGCTCTCTCTCCCCTCCCCCCCACTTTCTAAAAAAACCCCGAGCCCGGCGTAAAATCCTTCTTCTGCGACACTCCTGTTCAATGCATTGTTTCGCTCCGATACCCCGGCCAGATAAGGCAGAGATCCCGGCGGGAGGCAGTGCCACTGGAACGAACCTACTCCCAAGAAAATCTGGTTCGTCATCCCACGGTTGATTGCTTGAGGCCAGAAGCAAGAGTTGGGGCGGTGGGAGAAACGGGGAGCTGCCTTAGAAAGGCCAGTCCTCCTGGCTCTTTTTGTGCTGGGTTTCCTCGACGTGTGGGTCGGTCTTGTTCCTGGGCAGGAGCCGTGTGTGTGTGTGTGTGTGTGTGTGTGTGTGTCCTGGCCTTGGCTGCTCGCTGCGAAAAGCTGGCTCATTTCTCTCTCTCTTTCTCTCTCCCCCCCCCCTTCCTTCTCCCTGCTCCATTTGCGCTGCAGACAGATCTGCAAGGAGTTCACCGACCTGCTGGCGCAGGACCGCTCTCCCCTGGGCAACTCCCGGCCCACCCCCATCCTGGAGCCGGGCATCCAGAGCTGCCTGACCCACTTCAACCTCATCTCGCACGGCTTCGGCAGCCCGGCGGTGTGTGCCGCCGTCACCGCCCTGCAGAACTATCTCACCGAGGCGCTCAAGGCCATGGACAAAATGTACCTCAGCAACAACCCCAACAGCCACACAGACAACAGCTCCAAAAGCGGCGACAAAGAGGAGAAGCACCGGAAATGAGGGGCGGCCCCCCTAGCCCCCCGCCCCGCCCCGGTCTCCCCTCTGCGCCCTGCTGCGGAGGCCCAGCGAGAGGTTCGGGCCGGACCTGTTCCTGCCGGAGGACCTAACCCCCGCCCAGCTCCGCTCTCGCCCTCCTCCAGCACTTCCCCAGTTCACTCCCAGTCGCTACCCAGTCTGGAGCCTCGGGAAAGGAACGGGGCGCCTCGGAATCAGGCCCCCCCCGTGGATTTTTTTGTTTGTTAGTGTGAACTTTTTTTGGTTTCATTTTTCAAAGCAAACAAACAGACAAGGTTTTGTTTTTTAAAAAAAGAAATTAAAAAGGAACTTTTCGTCCTGCAAAAGAGACACACGCAGAGAGAACTAAAAGAAAGAAAGCGAGAAGTGTGGAGAGAATGAACCCAGAGCTTCATCGGACTTGAATCACCGCCTCCTCCTTAGACAAACTTTCCTTTAAGATTGTAGCCATATTTAAAACAAACAAAAAACACAACAGCAAAAGAGGAAAAAGCAAACGAAAAGATGATGATGATGATGACGGTGACATTTTATCAGTATTGTGAATAAACTTGAACACAGACCACGCCCAGTTCCATGCCCTCTCTTCAGTGGTAGACTTTCCCCCCTTCCTGTCCAAGGTAAAGCCAATCCCATTTGAACTTGCTGAGGGCGACACCGATTTCACAGTTCTTCTCTAAGGGAATCAGTGTTCATGTATGTATATATTTTATTTATGTGTAATTTAATGGGAATTGTAAATATGGTGAGTCTGTTGGAAGCTTTTTTTAATTTATCTGGTGAACTCGTTTACCTCTTGTTTAGTGTTTTTTTTAAGAAAAGGAAACTCTCCCCCCTTCTTAGTTTTATCACTGTGGATTCATGGTTACTTATTTAGAAATGGGGGGAGGCTTTTTGGAGGGAGGGGGTGGTAATATTTCTGGGGCTCATCACGTCTGCCCTGTTGTAGCATGTTCTTCTCTCTTTTTTTGGAAAAAAACCCCCAGACAATAAAGCAGCAAAACAAACAAAAACAAACCAATAAACTAACCTGGATTTTAAATATATATCATTAGTATGACCTTTAGTTTCTTACTGATAAATGAACAACGACAACAAAGTTTGACCTGAAAGAGTCTTGAAGAAGGTAGAAATCCCTCTTAGGTGTTGTGGCTAAAAAGTTGCCAAGAAACAAACAAAAAAAAGTTTCTATCCAATGTCCTCTTATTTGAAAGCCTCCTAACCAGAGCAATAAATTAATATTGTCTATCAAGTGAAAAATATTAGGGACACCCCCTCCCCCTCCCCCGGGCCTTTCGTTTTGAGTTGTCTTTTGGTTTGAAAGAACTTCCGTACATCTTGGACCACCTGGTATCTTCTATTTCCACCGGCCATATTGGAAGCCGTTCTCGTTGTATTGTATTGAGTTGTGCTGGCAATAGTTTCCAAGCCTGTCAATGTATCATAGTCTTTTGTTTCCCAGATAAATAAATATTTGATACGCTTTATGTCGATTTTTTTTTATTCAGTGGCTGTCTTTACCCAGGCGTATTTTTGTTCTTGGCAGTATTTTTTATTCAGTATGGTTACAGTAATTGAGTTTAACTCTCCCTTGACAATTGCTCCTTGCAATAAGCAGCTGAACCCACTGTTTCCCTCAAGTATAATAAAAACTTACTTTCAAGTTAGAGTTCAGAGCAGGGTATCATTTAGATATTCCACTGAGTCTGTATTCAGACAAATTACACAATAAAACACAATGTACTCTTTTGGATAAAAAAAAATGTACTGTTAAAGAAATGGCAGACTTTTCGTTAACGGAAAGGTCATTTTATTTTTTACAAAAATAAAAAAGGTTTATTTTGTTTATTTGATCTTTTAGGGTTTTTTATTCCTGCTTTATAATGATGTATTAAGTAGCACTGATCTGCATAATGTGTCATGCTCTTCATTTGCGTTGCTTTTGAAATCCGGATGAGCTATCCACAGGAAAGGGGGAGGGGATTGGGGACATAGTTGATGCCATGTAGGAGACAGAAATTCTCACACAGAATGTGCAGCTTTGGAGTAACTAACTTGGTGCATTACAGCCTTTGGGCCACTGAAAGGTGTAGGTTTTATTTAATTCACAGGTTAAGCTACAGTTTTGTAACAGGCATATGATAATAGTTGTGTTTGTGTATGCATATGAAACCAATGTGTATTTTATGCACGTATCTCAGCACAAGCTATTTTTCAAGATTTTGAATCAGGGAGACTGAGAAAAGTATACTGTCCCCATAATAAGTATTCTAATTTAGAACCATCACAAAGCGCATATTAAACACAGAGCATGCTGTTGGGATAGCCAAATGAAGTGAATGATTTCCGTGCTTGTTTCGCCATTAAATTTGACTCCGAATGCACTGTTGTGAAAAAAAAACAAACCCCATAGCTTAATTGCTTCAGTTTCTTTGTGGAGTTTTGTGGAGCACAAGCTGGCCTATGCTAGGGTGGTTTTCATAGAACAGAAGCAAGACTAGGGACTGGAGTATTTGACCTGTGCAAACTCCCCGCCCCCCAACCAAGCAATTTGCTTACAATGCTTATTTGGAATGTTCAACTTGAGGAGCCTGGGCAAAAACACCGGGCAACTTCTAATCGTCTTCTGGTTGGGCCCAGCATGGACTGAATGGCTCCGTCTCTGGCATTCTGTTAAGCTTTGCAAAAAATCATGCAACCTCTGTGTGTGTCTGTTTCGGGTTGTTCCCCCGCCCCCGTTGTTGTCTTGAGGAGCCCGCCCTGTCTTTGGGGGGGGGGCAGGCTTTGCACTTATAAGGCAGAGCTGAAGGGAAGCAAAAGGGCTTCTGGTATCCGCAGTGAATCCGCAAAGGAGAATGAGGCCTCCTTCTGTGATTGAACCTTTGGTAGGTGAAGCAAGTGCAGGAGATAAAAGCACAAGATGTTCCTTCTGGGGGTGGGGGTTAATCCATGGCAGGAAACCAGTATGGCCAAGCAGAGAAGGACTGGTGGAGCTGGAAAGCTGTTTTACAATGAAAGCCCCCCCCCCTCTGTGTGTGCGTGTGTGTATACAGAGAGCGAGCGAGAGAGATGTGGAAACGGCAGATTGAAAGGGGATCTTCTGCATGCAAAGATGACCTCCCTTCTGAAAATGCTTATTCATCCCCCTCCCTCCCCATACATTGGTTAACTGTAAAGTGGATGTAACAAAATAATGAGGTGAATGAACCCTTAACTGTACACGCAGCCTTGACATAAATGAAACACGCAGCGTTGTAGCAGGTGAAGTGAAGCATTGTCTATCTGGGCTGTTTTTCTTGGCTGCATCACAGATTGTGTGGGGGATCCTAACCTCAGGCACAATGGCATTCATAAACGCCAGGCGCACACTGCTGCTCTTTCTCCAGCGACGCATAAATACCCATTTTTAAATGGGGAGGAAACAGACACAGACACAGGCACACGATCTTATTAAACCCCATTCATTCAGATCTGGATTTCCAGATTCTTGTTATTCTCCCTGCCCCCCCCCCCCTTTGAACTCTGGCTAATCGTTTAAGGCTACAACATGGCGAGGTGTAAAACAGACTTAAACCTTAGAAAACCGAGGAGGTCCTCCTGATTGGTAAGGATCTGAATAATAATATTGTTAAGATAACAAAATCCAGTTCAAGAGATGTGAACGCAATAAATCGTAGGACCTATTGGATGCCCCGCAAAACACTTATTTGAGGTCTTATAATTGGTTGGCCATTAACGTTCTGGCATGAAATCTGGGTCGGCGACAAGGCGTATTAGGCCTTGTTATAACGTTTTGAAAAGACTGTGCATTTTGTGTATCTGCCTATCCAGTGCTGCTCGTACAGCTGTCGCCTTAAGCAGATATCAGAACAGAAATTAAAAGAAAGAGGCCTTACTTAAAATAAAGAGACCTTACAAAACATTTTGTGTAGAAACAGCCAACTGGGAGCCTGATAACTGGAACCAGCGGCCTCCTGGCCCTTACTTGGGAATAAGATCTGTTGAAGTCACTGGGCATTCTTGCAAATAAATGGTAGACCGGGGCCGGCAATTTATTGGTTACTTTGGCCCCAAAGAAACCGAGCGGAGCCTTCAGGATCTTCCTATCCTCCACTTTAATAAGGACTGCTCGGATCCTTTACCCGAAAAAAATCCCAGTCCTTTGCCATTGTTGCGAAATGAAACGGGGATCTTCCACAATCGCGATGCAAATCTCCTTTATAACAAGCTCAGAAAAGCGGGGTGAGTTCGTCGAGATATATGTCTTGTGCTTGGGATGCTCAGTTCGATTGGCTTTTGAATTGTGTCGTGGGTGGGAAAAAAAAATAACGCGCCGCTTGCTGCTGTTGGGGGCTCATCTGCTGTGATCATAGTGCAGCTAGCAAATCGTGTTAATTACTTTCACATTCTTTTGGGGGGTGGGGTGGGGATGGGGGGGGGAGAATGTATTTTGCACGTTGTAATCAATCATTGTTCCAGCCTTTCAGATTCTAGGCCACGCTTAAAGCTGCTGCCCCCCCAAAAATGTCCCCCCCTCCGCTCTTTAGATTAACTGAAATTAGGATGAATAGTCAAATGTTAATGAGTTATAGCTCAGTTCCTTCATGCTATGTTAATGGACACATTTTAAAAACGTAGCACAATAGTCTTCAAGCTGAATGGTTTCCGCCCTCCTCTGTAATAAATCATCATCTATTCCCCCCCCCCAACACACACTCTCAACCCCCCAAAATCGAATATTAATATAATTTGAGATTTAACTGGTGGAACAGCCATCAGGACAGCAATGCCCCGCAGCTGAAATAATATTTAAAATAGAAAAAGATTTGACATTTGATAAGTCAGTGGCTTGAAATACCCAGTTGTACTTAGCTAATTCAGTCCTTAACCTCTGGTTTCAAATAAATCAATTACAGTCGATTCCACTTCAGTTCAGAAGTGCACGAGGGTTTGAGTTAATTGAATACATTTTATTCACTTGCTAGGAATATTCATTTATCTAAATCCTTAAATATAAAGGAGATTTCTTTGATTGCCCACGTTTAATCTGACCGCATAATCAGATCAAGCCTTTTTGCTGGGGTTCCCCTCTGAAATTCCATCGTGGACCTCTCGTTTCCTCTCCGGAGCTCGGACGGCCTAGCTACAGCCTGCCCTGGTCGGCTTTATTTGTAGTTAGGCCACCTCAGCGAAGGTGGGCT